AACAAGAAATTTAACAGGTTTAAAAAGATGGTTTTTGTAACTGGAGAAGGTGCTGTGTAAATTGTTTGGCTTCCTTAAAGTAACTAGAATACCTATAATATAGAAAGTTACAACTTTTACTACTGCTTTTATAGCTCATGGTGAGATGGATAATGAAGCTGTTATAACAAACTTTAGAAGCTACAAGTATCAGAATTGATAGTTTCAAATGCAAAATGAAGTCGCCAAACTGTTTTGGTCTTCTTAAGAACAGTGAAGGCCAGCTATTGTGAAGGGTATTGTTTTTCTTAGCTCCAGCTCTGTATTCTCTTTGTCACTGTAGGGAAATATAACTCATTTTTTGTATGTTGATCTTGTATCCTGCCACTTTGCTGAATTTGTCAACTATGTCCAGTAGTTTTCTTGCTGAGTCTTTAGGGGTTTCTAAGTATACTATTACATCATCTGCATAGAGAGATAATTTTACCTCCACTTTGTCAATTTGGATACCTCTTATTTCCTTCTGTTGTCTTATTGCTAACACTAGACTTCCAAAACAGTATTGAATAAAAGAGGTGACAGTGGGCATCCTTGCCTAGTTCCTGTTAAACAGAATGCCTTTAACTTCTGTCCATTGAAAACAATGCTGGCTCTCAGGTTTGTGTATATACTTTTTACTGTGCTGAGGAAATTCCCCTCTAATCCTATTTTGTTGAGTGTTTTAATCAGAAAAGGGTGTTGGATTTTGTCAAAGGCCTTTTCTGCATTAATTGATAGGATCATGTGGTTCTTTCTCTTTGCTTTGTTAATATGATAAATTAGATTGATTGCTGTTCTTATGTTGAGGCATCCTTGCATACCTGTTAGGAATCCCATTTGATCATGGTGAATTATTTCTTTGTTGTGTCATTGGATTCTATTGGCCAGTATTTCATTCAGGATTTTTGCACCTATGTTCATAAGAAATATTGGCCTATAGTTTTCTGTTTCAGTGGTATCCTTTACTGGCTTTGGTATCAAGGATATGCTTGCTTCATAGATTAAGTCTGGGAGAATTCCATCTTTTTCTATTTTCTTTTTTTTCATTCTCTTCTCCATTTATTATGGTGTTGTCAATTGGCCCAGTGGTGAAAATCTTGGGCTTTTCTTTTCTTTTCCCCCCTATTTTCTGAAACAGTTTATGTAGAATTAGTGACAGTTCTTCTCTAAATGTTTGGTAAAATTCACTTGTAAAACCATCTGATCCAGGGTTGGTTTTTTTTTGGCTGGAAGTTGCTTTATTACCCTTTTAATTTCTTCTTTTGTAATGAGTCTATTCAAGTGTCTAATTTTGGTTTGTGTCAGCTTAGGTAGGTTGTACATTTCTAAGTATTTGTCCCATTTCCTCTAGGTTCTCATATTTGTTTGAGTATAGTTTTTCATAGTATTCTAATGTTAGCCTTTTTTATTTTAGTTGGTTCTGTTGTGATGCTGTCTGTTTGATCTTTTAACTAGATTATTTGTCTTTCCCTTCTTTTGTTAGTTTTACTTGTGGTTTGTCGATTTTATTGACCTTTTCAAAGAATCAACTCCTAGTTTTGTTGATGGTTTCAATTGGTTTTTGGTTTTCTATTTCATTTATTTCTGCTCTAATTTTTATAATTTCAGTTTTTTTAGAGGGTGTCAGGTTTTCTTGCTGTTCTTTTTAAATTTGTTGGAGATATTGGGTTAGAGAGTCAATGGTCATCTTTTTCCTACCTTTCATGTGTTTGCTTATTGCTCTAAATACTTGGGAGTAAATCTAACTAGAAGCACAAAGGATCTATTCAAAGAAAATTACAAGACATTAATACAAGAAACAAAAAAGAGACCTTGAGAAGTAAAAGAATGTCCCTTACTCATGGGTAGAAAGACTCAATATTGTGGAAATGACAACACTACCAAAGGCAATTTGCATGTTCAATGCAATCCCAATACAAATACCAATCCTATTCTTCAACAAGATGGAAAAAGCACTTTCCAGTTTCATTTGGAATGGAAAGAAGCCCCAAATAAGCAAAGCACTCCTTAAAAAGATAAATAAGGTAGGAGGCATCTCACTCCCTGATTTAAAATCCTACTACACTTATGTGTTGGTCAAAACAGTGTGGTACTGGTACAAGGACAGACACATAGATCAATGGAATAGAATTGAGAAACCGGAAATCAGCCAGTCTACCTATGGTCAACTAATTTTTGACAAGGAGATGAAGTCAGTTAGGTGGGGGAATGATAGACTTTTAACAAATGGTGTGGCAGAATTGGAAAATTATCTGCATAAAACTCAAGCATGGTCCACACCTCACTCCATACGCAAAAACCAACTCAAAGTGGATCAAGGACATAGGACTAAAACCAAGGACTATAAACTTCATTAAAGTAAAGCTTGGAAGAACTCTTGAAGTCCTAATATAGAACATAAACAGTCTTCCAAGTCCTGGAAAGTCTATAACCAGGAGAGCATAAATAGATGAATGGGACCTTCAAGAATCAAATCCCTATGCACATCCAAAAACCTCTCCAACAGGGTTAAAAGGGAAGCCACAGACTGGGAAAAAGAATTTGCTAATGACATGTAATATAAGGGACTTATATCTAGAATTTATAAAATACTAGAGCACCACAACAAGTTAAAGGTGAACAACCCAATTGAAAAATGGGCACAGGATATGAACAGATACTTTACCAAAGAAGACATTCAGATGGCAAACAAACACAAGAAGCAATGTTCAAAATCCCTGGCTCTAAGAGAGATGCAAATCAAAACAAGAGATGTCATGTCACCCCAGTCAGAATAGCAAAATTTAACAGAAGAGCAAACAACAAATCCTGGTGAGCTTGTGGAGAAACTGACTGACTGTGGGAGTGTAAGTACAACCACTATGGAAGGCTGTATGGCACTTTCTCAAAAAGTTGCAAATAGAAATACCATTTGACCCAGCAATTCTACTACTGGGAATATACCCCAAAGAGACAATAACTGACATCCAAGCAGATTAATGCACAAATATGTTTATCACTGCTTTGTTCATAATAGCAAAGAGTTGGAAACAACCTAAGTGCCACCATCAAATGAATGGATAGAGAAACTGTGGTATATTCATACAATGGAATACTATGTGGTATTGAAAAACAAGGAACTCATGCAATATTATTCAAAAGGGGTGACCCTGAAGAGCATGATGCTGAGTGAAATATCTCAGTCACAAAAGGACAAATACTTCATAGTACCACTGCTGTAAACCATGACTGACATGGGCTTGGGCGGGACTGAGAGAGATGGGATAAATATACTGCATTGAAACAGATGAGGGAGAGAACTGTTTAAAAGGGATATATGATTAGGTATTATTGTCATGACAGGAGTCCAGAATGAAGGCTGCATAGTGGAGTGGTCTTGAGGGGAGGGATTGTATAACACTGAATGAAATTTTCTTTTACTTTTTGAAACGAAGGCTGCATAGTGAAATGGACTTGTGGGGAGGGATTATATCCCAATGAAAGAATTTTTCTTTTACTTTTCAAAGAGAAGGACAAACTGAGTGGGAGGTTGGGCAGGGAGAAAAGTACAACAATCAGTGAATGAATGGAAATCCAAAGTCTTTGTAAACTTTCATTAAAATTAATAATAATAATAAACAACAATGAAGGCCAAGCACTGCATATGTGCCTGCAGGAGTAATTATTTCAGAGGAATCCTCTGACAGTGAGGAAGGGAAGTTAATGATGTGCCAGAGTCCACTCAGCAAAGTGGAAGAATATGGACCATATTTATTTCCAAAGTTTACTTAACAGTTTTCAGTAGTTGTTAAGTGCCATTGTGTTGGGTACAAGCCTATGAATGATACGTTCTATCTTGTGCCATCTTTATCATCTCTGATACACTTGAGCCCATTGCTGTAGACACTGTATCAATCCACCTTGTTGAGGATCTTTCTCTGCTTCCCTGACCCTCCACTTTTCCAAGTATTATGTCCCTCTTCAAGGAATAGCCTCTTTTAACATGTCCAACATGTGTGAGATGAAGTGTCACTATCCTTGCCTCCAAGAAGTCATTCTTTTACTTGCCAAGGAGTCAATCTTTCACTTACTACTTACTGTTTTAAAATTTATGGTGAAACATCTGTGAACACATCTTTTAAAAGTTTCTTTTCACTTTAGAACTAAATATCTGTTTCCAAATGTATTTGTATATCTTGATTCACATTTTGCAAGCAAATGCCATTTAATAAAATCTTTAAGCTTGCAGTTTTAAAGGAGGAAGCCTGAGGCATGGCTTAATTCAAAAAGTCCATTGTTTTTACTGTTATTTGTTTAGACACTGGTGGGGGGTGAGGTCCAGGAGGCTGTTGCCTTCCCTGCATTGACTCTGACCCTTTCTCGCTGGCCTTTTGAGTCAGGTGGGGATAGTTTATCCAAGGTCTGCATAGCCAGGAGTGGCAGCCCAGGACTAGAACAGGGCTTGGCCCCTTTCTATGGCCTGTGTTCTTCTAATTCCTAACATTTGAGAACCTACATCTTCAGAGTGCTTTCCCTATATTCTGTCAAATACACCTCAGTGTTGATTAGAGGTAAAAATATGTATTCCAAATGATAGGGCTTGAAGACATGCTTTTTTGTGATCCCAGTTCTGGCTCCCATTGTTACGTGGCAGAACCCTTTCTAGCTACAGCCTAACTTTAACTCCCTTTACCCATGTTTGTTTAGATCATAGTTGTTGTTATGTACTGTTGAGATAGAACTTGCTCAGAGCTGACCCTATTTTTCCAGAGGCCGTAAGTTACCTGGGACAAGATTGTCTATCTTTCTCCTGTGGATCAGCTAGTGGATTTGAACCACCTGCCTTAGACCACAGAGGCTTTATGAATTGACATCAAAGTATGTTAAGTTGTACATTGTAGATATAAAATCTTGATGACTGTGTTGCCAATTTTGAATGTATTTTTAAAATGGGACAATTTGTGATGTTATTCTTTTTTTTTCTTTTTTTTGTTAAACTGCAGCCTCACCGAATACCCCCAAGCTTGGACCCATGGAGCTGACCATTGTTATTACTGTGCCAATTTGCCTCTTGTCTGTAGCTGCAATGCTAACTGTATGGACGTGCCAAGGTCGACAGTGCACATACAGGAAGAAAAAGAGACAGAACGTGGAGGAACCGCTTTCTGAGTGCAACCTAGTCAGTGCGGGGAGGACACTTAAAGATTTGATTTATGATGTGACCGCCTCTGGATCAGGGTCTGGTGTGTGTTCATTTTCCATTTCTTTTGTAAGAAAAATCTTACTGGAAAATACAACAGAAGGGTTTTTTTAAAAAATAAAAAAGTGAGCAATATGTCATGAATTCCATTTTGATACATAGTATATTCTGGTGTAGTAACTTCACTTAGTATTTTTTATTTATTTTACATTATTTTTTAATTGGTTTGCTTACAAAGTTTATATATATATTTTCCTTAACACGGTTCTTCATTCATGTTGTGTTCCATACAATCATTCTCACACATTATATTTTATAAATCCAGTCACAGTTTAAACCAAAAACCCATCATACCCTAATAGTCATTTTTTGTGCATCCATGTTCTTATGCCCACATTATTTCAAAATGTACTGATAAAACAAAAAAGAGCTTTCTCTCTCCTACCTCCATTATGGTTTATAACAATCGTTGTAATGTTTTATGGGCACAGAAGGTTTACTGCATTTGAGAAAGTGACTTCTGGGAAAAGATGCTATTTAATAAAGCAGTGTTCTGAACACCTTCGCTTGTGGTCATGAAGACCTTTGGAGTCTTCAGGCACCCCTGGGATATGTATGTGAAGTTTTGTATGAGAAGATGACCTGTGATGACAATAATATGAGGTCGAAGCACAGAAATGAAAGACGAAGAAGTAGCAAAGATTTTCTCTGTTGACTTTTCTTGCTCTTGCTGTAGGGTTATATGATAACTCACTTCCTTGTTAATGAAAAGCTGAAATACCTTGTAAAGCAGTTGAACATAAGAATCCTAACGCATTTGGCATTTGAAGGTTTCTTTTTGGATAACAGTGTGGTATTCCCCAGTAATAAAGAACTCACTAAGTGTAGAGCGGTTGTTCTCACATGTATTTCCAGATATTATTAGTACATGATATTGCAAAACTGTGGACTAGAGTAAGCCTAGATGAGCCACTTGAGACACCCCTGTATCTCTTCTTTCTTTGGGAAGATCATTAATGAATCATTACCTCAAAGATACTTTTTAGGAGCTAATATGCCAGTGGCCTTTGAAACCCTCCAGACAGGCACAGATAATGGAGCCCAATGACAGAGGGAACACAGAATTGTACCGTGTGTGTGTGTGTGTGTGTGTGTGTGTGTGTGTGTGTGTGCTGAGAAAGGGGGGGGAGAGAGGAGAGGGAGAAGAAGAAGAAGAAAAGAAGAAGAAAAAAAGAAGAAAAGAAGAAGAAGAGGAAGAAGAGGAAGAAGAAGGAGGAGGCGGAGGCGGAGGCGGAGGAGGAGGAGGAGGAGGAGAAGAAGAAGAAGAAGAAAAGAGAGAGGAGAAAGGAGAGGAGAGAGAGAGAGAAGCAGCAGCAGAAGCGAAGTGAAGAGAACAGAGGGGAGAGTGCGAGAGAGTGAAAGAGAGAGTGAGAGAGAAGTAGCTCAAGGCTCATGCACTTGCAGACTTGCAGAGACTGGCAAGTCTCATGTTCAAGGATCAGGCTTCTACTGACTCATGTAGCTACTAATAAACCAGCAGATTTGTAGGTTGGATGGCAGGCTGATGACTTCTAAGGATGATGAAGCCAAAATCATCAGTTAATACAGCAGGCTGCTGGCTCATATAAAAAGAACCAGGGGTTAGATTGTGACCAGCCAAATACATGATCAGATACAGCAAAAAGCAGCAGAGCACTGCCAACCCACAAGTGCACAGTTCAAATCCACCGCCTGCTTCATGGGGGAAGATGGGAACTTTCTTCTTATACTATTTATCATCACTGAAAATTTGCCAGAGGATCAGGTATGAGTTGTTTCCAACTTGAAGATACACAACAACAACAACATATATGTTCTACATAGGCCTGAGAAGCCTGCCCTTTAATTAATTGGCTGCTCATAGCATATTTCATCAAGGAAGTGACTGTGTTGTAGCAGATCTCAGCAAGAAAACTAACCGTAACTGCCAAACCAGAGAATTGTGGGCAGCTGAGCTGACGCACAGTCTTCACCAACACAGTTTTAATCCTGTTCATTCCTGTTTGTCTCTCTGCTAGGAAACTGCATTTTCACCCCAGATAAATGGAATCAGAAGTTTAGCAACATGTGAATAACCCTAGGGAGTTTGTTAACATGAAAATTTTGATCCAGTAAAATTCTCAACAAGGCTGGCTAAATGCCCTGACTGGGGCCATGACTGCCTGAGTATCCATATCATTTTAAAGGATTTTGGATTCACAAGGATTATTTGGAAAAGAGAAGAATAACTGCCATCTAAAGAGTCTTGGAAAGGATGAACCAAGTCTCTCCTTGCAGGCTAGGATTTTTTTTTTTTTAGACTTGGATTTTGAAGCTCCATCTCATGTACTTGGGGCACATGGCCAGGAGAAACCGGTCCTTGGAGAAGGACATCATGCTTAGAATGGTAGAGGGACAGAGCAGGAGAGTGAGACCCTGGATGAGATGGATTGATACAGTAACTTGGGCAATGGGGTTGGTGTGTCAGAATTAGTGAGACTGGTTCAGGACAGTCGGGTTCAGAGCTGCTGTACATACGGTCTTCATGAGTCACAGGTGACTTGAAACATACAACAACAACAAAGAGTCTGAATTATTGTGTTTTATTTTGGGGTTTTTTTTTGCCACTTCTAAGGCAATGACATCTGCATTGACCAAACTCTTTTAAGTGTTTATACTGTCCCTGCTCAAATTCGGTGGTGTGTTTCCTAAGAGGAATATTGGAAAGAAAAAGCTCCAAATGGCAACATTTATGAAACAAAATAAAAATTAAATTATTGGATAGAATATTTCTTCTCAAAACCTGCTTGGATTCGGTACTGTTCTTTGAAACAACACTGTATTCCAATTTCTTAAACTTTCATTACTAGCAAGTCAGAACTGACTCATAGCTTAAACTGCAACAAGTTTTTGGTGTCTATAAATTGCATGTGAGGAGACTGCCCATCTTTTTCCTACAGAGCAGCTGGTAGATTTGACCCACCTGTCCATGGGTTGGCATGGAACTACCTGAAGCACTCACTCCATTCTAGGTATGGCATATGTTACAGAGAGCCAAGGTTCAAAAATTAGTGCCAGGATTCCCAAACTTACCTCATTTATATTGAAGATTTAAATAGTTGAACCTCTTTATCCCCAAGAAAACACTTCTGTTTACCTGGTGAGGTGAGGTGAGGTAGACAAGATGATTTTGAAGCTACTCCTAAAACACTTTGAAAGTGATGATGAATTTCCCTGTTAGATAAAATGACAGATTTTTTTTAAACTGGATATTGGCTTTTAGTTCAATAAAGCAGTTTTGAGTAATGACATATGTCTATGTGTGTGTATTTAAATAGTTTTTTGCATTTGTAGGTCAATCTGAAATTACTGATTGTGCTGAGTTCTTGTTTAGATTATTCGGAAATCTTTTGTAAAGCAAAACCAGTAAGTGTTATCAAGCAGGGACAATTTCCTGAATGAGTAGAGTAATTCTAGGAATTTTTTCCCCCCCAAAGCCAGATGCATGTATTTGGCAGTGGCCTCTGGCTAAAAGTAGCTGTTGCCTTTGCTAATCAGAGATAGAGTGAATAGGTCTTCCCACAGCAGTGCTTCCATCCCCAGCACCCACAATAGGGGAAGGAAACCAGGCAGCTCCACTTCCCTCTGTTCCCCTTTATGTGTTGGTAGCCTGAATAGTGAGGCAGCTCTGTCAGATGGTGACAACTGAAAATCATAAAACTCTATGACTTGCTTTTAGGCGCATATTTCAAAGAGCATGTAATTCCCGCAGAGAGGAAAGTGGACCTTTTTTGTTAGTGCGGTTTTATTAGACTCTCTCTGAGACTGGATTATGTCTGAAGTGTCTTCGAAGATGTTGGGCAGCTTGCGGCTTTCCTTTTATGGTATAACAACCCTGTCAGATGGTGACAGAAAGATGCTTTTCCGTAAGAGAGGCAGCAACTTTATACTCCCTAGTTTAAAAAGAGAAAAAAAACAAAACAAAACCAAAACCCTATAAGTTGAGACAAAGTCTATTTATCTTGAAATCCAAGTTCTAAGTGTGTGGCAGAATTAATCCGATTATTTTCAGTGGTAGCTTTGAATGATTCTAAAGCAACTTTCATTGAGTTCTTCCATCTCAGTTTGCTGTGTTTGCCACCTTATAAGGTGCTGTCTTTTCTTTGACTCTAGTCTGTATCATTTAGTATGTGCTTGATCAATTTGCCGTTTGTAAACTTTGGCTTGTCTGATTATCTAGTTTTTATTGATGATAGTTGAGGTAGTTTGATGTCTGAGTCAGTGAGAGGGCATATTTGTGTGTGTGAGAGAGTATGAGTATTTGAAAGAGAAAGAATGTGTGTGTGTGTGTGTGTGTGTGAGAGAGAGAGAGAGACAGAGTGAGAGGGAGAGAAAGAGACAGTGAGGTGAGGGGGGAAGAGAGAGAGAAAAAAAAAAGGCTGGAGAGTGGAAAGAGGAAAAACAGTCTCAGAAAGATTCTAAAGAGTTGTGTTTGCATTTGTTTTCTCCTAAGACACCAAGATACATATATATATTTATTTTTATTTTTTTTTTGTCTAGGTTGGTTACCATTCCTTGGATAAAGTTGTAAACCACTAGATTTTTCTACTTTTCTCTGTCTTGTGATTGTTGTACACTTTATAGAGATGGGTCATCTCAGTGCATATGAGGTGACCATGTCCTATTGGGAGCTCTGGTGGCCTACTCCATAGAAAGCTGCACTTCTAACTAAAAGTTCATGCCTCTCTGGCATTTGAACCCATCAGCAACTCCTGTCCAATAGGAAAAAGATGGACAACCTCCTTCTGGGTGATTTACAGCCTCAGAAACCCACTGAAGGATCAGCTGTGGGTTGGTTCAAACACAGTGGTGATGAGAATATTGTGTAATGCCTTCATCTTCAGCCATCTTAATATTTGTCTGTTACCTGTTATTTGCCCTTGAGTCAGAAGTGTCTCATAGCTGCTGCTCTTGCGGGTTTTCAGAGATTGTAAATCACGTGGGAAGGAAATTGTCTCCTCCGTGTGGCTGGTGGAGAACAATCACCTGCCTTTGTGTTTGCAGTGCAATTCTTCATCCATGAGACCACCAGATCTCCCTTTGTCTGTGACGTAGTCACTGAGACATCCTCCCTTAATAGTGGACTCATAACATATTTGTCATTTTATGACTGGTTTCTTCCACTTAGTAAAATGCCCTCCAGAGTCATCCATATTATGTGCTATTTAATGAATCCTTTGATTTTTAATGTTGTATAGTATTTAATTGTATGTTTGCACCATAGTGTATCTATTCAAGCATTGGTGAAGATAGTTTGTTTCCAATTTTATATATATAAAATAAAATATGTATATATGTGTGTGTATATATATCTAGGAATATTTGGTGGCCTAGTGGCAAGCTGTACAGCAATCTAAAAGGCATGCGGTTTGAGGCCACCAGCTGCTCCATGGGAGAAAAATGAACAGTCTTCTCCTGTGTGATTAACTATCTCTGAAAACCCACCAGAGGGTTAGCTATGAGTTGGTACTGACTCTACAGTACAAAACATTGTGTGTGTGTGTGTGTGTGTGTGTGTATAAAATCAATATTTCCAATTTTTTAAGAAATCACTAAAATGTCTTTCACAATGTTTGCACCATTTTACAACCTTCACTATCATTTTATGAGAGTTCTACCTCTCCATGTCCTTGCTAATATTTGGTATTTCTCTTATTGAACTTTGCTGTTGTTACTTGAAGGAAGGGTGGCTTTTTTGAGTTGCATCTTACTATAATGATTGCTAGCATTCATTCATATGTTTGTTGGCCACATGAAAGTTTTAAATGAAATTTCATATCCTTAGCTAATTTTTAGTTGAGTTGCTTATTTTTACATTGATAAAGTTGTGGAACTTTCAATAAATTTTAGAGATTAATCCTTTGTCAGAAATGCCTTTGCCATATATTTTTTTTCCATTTGTAAATTCTCTTTTTACTCTTAGTCATTTGATACATATAAGGATTCAATTTTCAGAAAGTCTCAAGTCTTCTAGATTCTCTTTTGCTGTCTGTATATGTTTGGCTATGTTTGGTAGTCTCTGCCATAATTTGGGGCCCTTAAATTAAGTGTTGGTGTTTTGTTTTTTAAAATGATTATAACACACTGGCATGGAATGGTGGATAAACATACCATATACACTCAAAAACATTTTCTTTGAGATAGTTTTATTATACAGAAAATGTTATGTGCTGTTAGAGTCACCTGTGACTCATAGTAACTCTGTATTCAACAGCTCTGGAGCCTTCCCTATCCTGAACCAGTCTCTCTGATTCCAACCCTAGTTGCCCCAATTACTGTATCAATCCATCTTATCCGGGTTTTCCTCTCCTGAACTTCTGAGCATGGTGTCTTTCTCCAAGGACCAGTCCCTCCTGTACATATGTCTAGAGTATGTGAGACTGAGGTTTAAAATACTAGCCTCAAAGGAGAAATTTGGTTAGTCATATGTTTTTTTTCTATGAGTACATCTATCTTCCTTTCAGTGCAATATTGTTGTCTCACTTGACTTTTATTTTTTTTTTTTTAAATCTTGCATACCCTCAGGGAACTTCTTTGACTTCCCAGGAATTTAATTTCACAATCTAACAAAAACTTGTTTCCCTGTCTTTGTGTGTTTAAAAGCCTTTTGTATTTAATAGGCTTACTACCTTTGGTGGGCAAATCATGATGATCTGTAGTGATTTTGGAAAATCAAACATCAGCAACAGGAGATTGTGTTAGGAATTTTTTACTTTTGAATATGAAAAGAGAATTTCATAATAAGAATGTTAAGTCTTTTGTTCTTCCCTGCTTTTTAGCTTAGAAATTAAAGTTTAGTAACATAGCACTTATGTCTATAACATTATTAAAATTAGCAAAGTTAAAAAATTTTAATACAAAAATGGTGGTCACCAGGACAGGGGTTTCTCCCCCTAAATACTTATTTTTAATCATCCATTCTTCTTCTTTGCTTAGGTCTTCCTCTGTTGGTCCAAAGAACAATTGCACGGACGATTGTACTGCAGGAAATAGTAGGAAAAGGTCGGTTCGGTGAGGTGTGGCATGGAAGATGGTGTGGGGAAGATGTGGCTGTGAAAATATTCTCCTCCAGGGATGAAAGATCTTGGTTTCGTGAGGCAGAAATCTATCAGACTGTTATGCTTCGACATGAGAATATCCTTGGCTTCATTGCTGCTGACAATAAAGGTATATTTTCAATAAAATTTTACCCAGTAAGTAAAAATGTTATGTCTGTTATTGCATGAGAGTAAATATATTAATTTCTTGGCTTTAATTACCATTACAATAATAATTAAACCCATTGCCATTGAAGCAAGTTTAACTCATAATGAGCATCTGGTGGATTTGAACTGATGACCTTGTTAGCAGCCTGACGTGTTACACCTTACTGGTGGTGACACTTTTGTTCTAGAAAGTCTACAAAAAGTCTGATTTGCCTTCTGTGGAGAGGAAATACTTTTATCTTTTCTACAGATAAATGTATGTGAAAATATGACACTAGTCAAGTCAGTATTTAAAATACTTGATGACTCATATGGCACAGAACAAAACTGGACTGGAAAAAAATCAAAGAACTCTGCTAAGTGCCCTTTTCACCTTTCAGTTACTTGGTTAAGATTTGATCTGGCGATATTGAGAAGGGTGGGGAAGCAGGACCAGGTGTGGGTGGCTGGGGCAAAGAAGCATTATGTTTAGATTTTACCTGGAAGCTTCTATCAGTCAGGAAAAAAAAAACCCAAAACAAATGGATTTTGGTAGTTTAGTAACTGATATGACATGCCAATAAAATTCTAGCTGAATATTCACCCTTGTTAAAAACATGTTTTTGTTCTTTATAATAGGTTTCATTTCCATGACTCAAGTTTTCTGTGAACATCATCTTTTTAGACTGTGTTAGAATGGCAGTGAGCAAAACACAATTTTAGTGAAATTGTCTATTAATGTTACTTTATGTGTAGTTTATATCTTGAAATTGAACATTGAAAACTCCAGTGATGTTTACTTTTGAAGCTTCATTGTGCAAGTCAAAGCATCAACTTTCTGATATTTTAATCAGTGTTTTTATAATATTGTATGTTTCCATAAGTCTCTAGAGATTGGTTGTAAACTTTGTGGTTATTTCTTCTGTTTATCATAGATTTTACTCATGGATTTTTACTGTGTAGTAGTACCATTTACTAAGGAAAATCTGGAATAAAAGCAAGAAAAACATGATTCATATGAACTTTGATTAAGTAGAAACTATAAACTGTTTCTTAAAAAAGTGTTGAGAAAAATTATCTTTGGGTATCAGGGATCCACTCTTATATATGACATTAAAAATCCACAGTTATTTTTATCTTGTATCAAGTTGACCATAGCAATTCCTCCATAAATAGACAACAAACAGAGGCTTAGCATTTTGCCCAAAATTGTATTTGCTGATGATTTCCCCTAATTTGGTAAGATTGAGGGAGAAAATTATTAAAGCCAGGATGAACTAAAAAATATTTTTCAAATTTTTAATGCTATTTCACTCACTCACTTATTGCTCTTAAGTTAGAACCAATTTATACCTGACCCACACGTGAGTTTTCCAAGGCTGTCAATAGCCCATCTTTCTTGTGGAACCGCTGGTAGATTCAAACTCGGAGAAGTTTGGTCTTTGGATTAGCAGTACATCTTATGGACTACACTACTGAAAATGAGAACATTTTTATTCAACTGTTAGCAAATGTTTTCTTTCCCCTTATCTTGAGCTGAATTAACTAATGTTCAGAGTTATACGAGCAGACTTATTCACCATGCTGCCAAAGCAGTAATGATTGTGGCTCTCTGACCATCTTGATAAAGTTTACCTAATCACAGTATTTATTGAACAGTAAAATAGTATGCACAAATTAGCTCAGATAATCCCTGATTTTTTTTTTCTTCATAGCTTAATTGGACTACCTTTGTCAGATCTTTACTTATCATTGGCTTTGTTTAGGATTCCTAATGGCCTCTAATGACTTTCTTCTGCATGAATGCCTGTATTTTTTTTAATAGGACTTGCAATTTTACTTTTTAGTTGACTTCCTGATCAAGACATGAAAGACAAGATATTAGGACAACCCTAGTCACTGATACTAAATAGAAGTGTGAGTAGGGTTAGTGTTGAATGTGCTCAGAGCATTAGTGAACTTCGTCCTGTAATGTTGACTTTTTCAATTCTAGGAAATTTTTATTACCCCCTGGACTTGGAAATCAAATATTTGAATAACTAACAGCTCTTATACATAAGGCTCCTGACAGAAAATGTTCTTAGCAAATGTTCATTAAAGATTCCCTTCCCTAAGAGTCAGGACTGCCCAGGGCTATTATAGATATTATTCCAACAGTTAAATCCACTACCTAGAGACATTTTAGGCTAATTCATCTTCTGTTGAATGTATTTTATAAAGTGACTTAACTTTTAGTTAAATGAAAGAAATAATTTTTGGCTGAATGTCTAGTAACTTCTCATGACTTGTAATAGAAAATTTTGGGGGAAAGATCACCTTCATATATTGGAAGATGGGTAGCACAAATATTCTTAGAATGTTAAAATCTTTATTGATAGCAACAATACTTTCTTTAAATTTGTTATATTTCTGATTTTTATTGGAATAATCTTTCTTTTTT